CCTTTACAAGGATGTAGTGGCCTTCTTTGTCTCTCTTAATCAGTTTTGGTTTGAAATTTATGTTGTCTGTGAATAAGGTTGCTACCTCTGCTTTTTGCTGGGCTCCTGTCAATGGAAAACTGTTTTCCATCCTTTCACTTTCAGTCTTTGCGTTTCCTTTCGAATTAGGTATGTTTCTTTTATATAATATATTGTTGGATTTTGCTTCTTAATCCATTCTGCCCGTCTATTTCTTTTGATTGGTGAATTGAGGCTATTGACATCTATGGTTATAATTGATGTGTATTGACTTATCATTGTCATGTTATTGTCCTTTTGTTGGCTCTTTTTAATTTTTCCCCCTCTTCCTTTAGTTTCTTACCTTGCCTAATTGATTTGCACTGTTGGGCCTCATGGCGTTGTGACCTTCATTGTCTTTTTATAGGATATTGTTTAGAATTGTTTGTAGTGCTGGTTTGGTATTCATGAAGTTTCTCAGGTGTTCTTTGTCATGGAAGTGTCTTATTTTCCCATCCATTTTAAAAGAGAGTTTTGTAGGATGCAACAGTCTAGATTGGAGGTTTTCTCTTAGGACTTGAAATACCTCACTCCAGGTTCTCCTTGACCTGAGGATTTGTCTTAAAAGTCTGCTGTGATTCTGATGGGTGTCCTTTGCATATGATTTGTTTCTTTTCTCTAACTGCTTGTTGTATTTTGTTCTTCTGTTGGATTTCCAGGATCTTGACTATTATATGTCTAGGTTTGAGTTTTTTTGATCATGTTCATTGGAGTCCTGTATGCCTCATTTATCTGTATGTCAAATTCTTCCACTCTGTTTGGGAAGTTTTCTGTCATTAATTCTGTGAACAGAATTTTTAAGTAATTTGTACTTTCTCCTGCTATTCCATGGATTCCTATCAGTCTTATGTTATTCTTCTTTGCATCATCTAGGAGTTGTTGGATCGATTTCTCATGATCCCCTACTGTTTTTAAGAGATCTGTCTTTTCATGGTCATTGACTGCAATCCTATCTTCTATATGTGAACTTCTATCTTTACATTTGTTCATTCTGCTATAAATGCTTGCAATAGAGTATTTAATCTCCTGGATATCTGTTGGGGTTTTTTTTCTCTCATTGAGTTTATTGGTACATTTTAGGTATACAGTACAGTTACATTCATTACTGAGATATTGTACCTTTACATGACTGGTCTTGGTTCTCATTCTTTCCCCTTGTCCCTGCCCTCCCTTCACCCCTTCATTTCCTTTCCCAAACACTTCATTTCCATTTTTTCATTTTCTCATATTTTATTCTTTTCCCTTATTACCTTTCCCCTACCTAGGGAAGCTATAAATTGTACTCACTTTCCTTTGAAACTAATGACAATCCAACAAAGGAAAAAGAAGAAAAGAAAAAGAAGAAATCCAAATTAGAGAAGGAACAGGAACAAAAAAGGAGATGAAGAATAATGTGGGGAAGCAAGAGAGTGGGTGAGAAAAAGAAGAAACGAATTTGCAGAATGGGAGAAAATAAAATTTTAAAAATAAAAAATGAAATATTAAAAATAAGGGGAAAAGAAAAACAATACTTGAAGAGCCTCTTTCAGGGTATATTTCTGCTATCACAAGAGACAATGTGGGCAGCTATGAGGCAGAACTAAGTCAATTAGTCTCAAGTAGCCAATGGCAGACCCCTGAGTATCAGGCTGAATTCTGGCTGCAGGGCCCAAATTGGGCTTCCTGGCCTCCTACAGGGTTGAACTCTACAAGATTCTACTGCAGGTTCCAGCTGCCCTTCCCCTGAAGATTGTCCAAGTTCTGATGGAAGGCAGTGATTCCTCCAATTTAACAACTACAGAGGTCTGATGTGCCTTTATTGCAGTTGTTCACTTCTGTTCTATCTTCTGGAGCTCAGTAAATGGCCTTTATGACCACCTGTGCCTCTGTAGTGTGAATCCCAGAAGGCCCGTGAGCAGGGGTGGAGGGGATGCTGCTGAGGAGCCCACATGGCTGGGCGGTCCTCACCAGTCTGCTTTGGTGAAGGCCTGGAGCCCTGGAGGTGGAAGAGCAGCGAGCTCGCCACATTGCTGGCAGTCCTCACCGGTCTCCCAAACTATTAAATAGGGAAACATTATTTCTGAAGAGGATGTACAGTTTTTGGAAAAAATCCTTTAAGTTTACATCTGTTAAATGTTACATAGTCCTTGAAGTAGCATGTGTATATCTATGAATTTTTTAAAAATTACAATGTAATAAAAATTCTTAAAATTAGTAGCAGTTTAGATGTGAAATGTTCTTCAAAGAAATACTGCTTACAATTAAGCTTATATAGTTGGGTCTGCCTTTCAAAAGCAAACATATTCATAGAAGTGAATTCAAAAATTTTCAATTATATAGAATAGTGAATTAACTCTGAAGTTAGAAAGCAAAAATATATAGACTATGGAATCATAATAAAGGTCATGTGTTTGGTTGTATAAGACTTTAACCCTTAACTGTTATCAATAAATTTTAGTGACAGTGTCTGGAGATATGTTTACCACTAGTTGCTTGTCCAAAAAAGTTAAAGATTTTCAAAGTTACTAAGTTCAGTGTAAGGCCAGCCATGTAGCATGATCACACAGGGGGAAGAAAAAAAGATACTTTTTACAAAAGTCCCTAGAAGCATTCTGCGATCTTATAACTCATAAATGTTACAGTGGAATCAATGTTCAAATATCAGATCTGTGTATCTATTTTTGTGCTTTTTAAGACATACATTTGAAAATAATTTATTATATAAGAACTAATACCTATATCCTGGTGTAGCTTTTCCATCTTTGTATTGGCTTAATTCTACATTAGGATTTTTAAAATATCAGGCAGGCATGGTGACACATGCTTGTAAGCCCAGATTCAGAAAGATGGGTCTGGAAGATCACCAGATTGAGATTAAGGTGGGCCATTAAGTGAGATCCGATTTTAAAATAAAATACAAAGTTCTGGGGAACTTTCCACATAGCTCAGTGGAAGAGTGCTTGCCTAATAGGCACAGTGTTCTAGATTTTGTCCCTAGCATAACCAAAAAAAAAAAAAAAAAAAAAAAAGACAAGGAATAAAAAATAAGGCATCCATAAAGTTTTTCACTTTAACTCCTTATCTTTCACACAGAACAGAATATTTGTCACTTTAATTTAGCAAATTATAAATGCAATTTCTGTTTTTTGTTTGACACTCACCAGAGAATCTGATGAACTCATCAGTGGGACCTCCTACACTAGAGACATCTTAACCCCACATTGCTTGGTTTCATAGTAGCTGAAAAGAAAATGAGTAACTTATGTGTCTGCCATTATACATCATAGCTGAGAAGCATAAGGAGAGCGAACTGTTCTTAGTGAAATAATTCAGATTGAAACAAGGTGAATTCTTTTTAAACACTTGAAAAAGGCCATGCTTTTCATTTTCATGTTTAAGAAAGAAAATATTAAAAAGTGATAAAATTATTTTTCTCTTAAAGAGACTTTAAGTTAGTAGTGAACTGATTTGACTATAGGTATTACACTATTGCTTGGAGATAATGTCTAAGTTATAATTCCCAAAAATGTCCATTGATTTGGCCTCAATCATGGGACTGATTGTTGCTAACTTAATTGTTTTGTATTGAAAGTTTTAAAAATTCAATTTAAAGTGAATACATAATTGGTAGTTTTATATTTAAATGGCAACAGAAACTAAAATTTTCAGAATACCCATTAGGCCAAGTATTTTTATCCTTTTTCTATGGTTGAACTACCAGACAAACAAACAACTAACTCTGTTTTTAAAATTGTGATCAAATAGAAGGTAATTGGGACAGTGTGTGTACTTTTAAATGTGTTCAACTTTATCTGGATTATAATGTATATTATGGATAAAAAGAACAATCATCATGTATTAAACACTCTGTAAGCACCAGATAAGCTTTTCATAGGTTTATATAACATAATTATTATAGGTATTATGCTCATTTTACAAATATAGAAACTAAGGCTTAGAAATACTAACACATTCAAGGTCACAGAATCTGTAAGTGGTATTTAGAGTTCAGTGAATTCAGGCTAACAATTTTTCTCTTTTAAAATTTTTTTAAAAATTGGTCCATTGTACGTGTATAATGCAATTACATTCATCATTGGGATCTTGTACCTTTACAAGACGTATCTTTGTTCTTATTGTTTCCCCATTCCCTTACCCTCCCTTCACCCCCTCCACCCCTCCCTATTTACAAACACTTTTGTTTCCATTTTTTCCCTTTTCTTATATTTTTTTCTTTTCCTTTCTTACCTTCCCCCCCCCACTTCCCCTGCACCTTTAGACCTTTTCTTCCTATTACACAATCTCATTTATACATTTTGATCCTTATTGACACTTTTAGTTTATCACAACAGAGAAACTTTTTGGTATTTACACGTGTGTCCTATTAATTTCACTTAAGAGTAGGGCCTCCATGTGCATCCTCTTGGCTATAAATGTCTCCCATAGGAATCAATATGAACAGTAATTCCCTTCGTGCTATTATTTCTTGAACTACACTCTTTCTTCTACCATCATTTCCCTCAAAAGAATTCCTTCTAAAAACAAAACAAAATATATTACTTCTATTTCCCTTTTCTATCAACAAAGTTCTAAGAACTTAACAAAAAGTCAGATATTGTTATGGAAATGATTAAGTTTGGTACAGAAAATTGCGTTCCATTTTTTTAAGGTGTCTGAGATGTATAAAGTACATAGCGATATCTTGTGTCAAAAAAAAATGGATTTCATCTTTATGATTTCTCCCAGAGTGTTACTCTTTAATGTTCCCCCTTTCCCTCTTCACATGCTGTGTCTGTAAATGTCCCTTCCATCACTGACTTTTCCTCCCAGCCATGTACGCAACTTAAAGTACATGGGTGATACTACTTTTTAGGGGGATTGGTAGACCTGCTAAGATCTCAAGCGTGGTTCTCCTTTTGCTTGGAGAGTCATAACTATAGTTATCTTCCTTAACCTTTCTACAGGTTTGTTATTGGGAGAGAAAAGCCAGGACAAGTGAGTGAGGTCGCACAGCTGATAAGTCAGACCCTGGAGCAAGAGAGGCGCCAGAGAGAGTTGTTGGAGCAGCACTATGCCCAGTACGATGCGGATGACGATGAGGTGGGGGACAGAGCTGTTTTCTGCATTTCTTCTCATGGTGTCTCCTACTACTGTGTAACTGTGCAGTAGGCTCTTTGCAGTTACTGAAAGAATATTTCTACACTGAGCTAAAAATTCATCCTCACAGAACAAAAATACCATTTCCAGAAACTATGAATCAAGTCGTGGGAATCCTATTTACAGTATGATAACTGTGGAAACAAATCAGTCTTATCTTTTACTATACTATTATATAGAAATTTATAGAAACAAAGGGTGAAAACACTAAAATGTGAATGCTGGCCACTTTTATTGCTAGAATTAGGTATTTTTTTTTCTCTCTGCTTTATAGTTTTTTCAGTCTTTTCCAAATGTTCTACAATATTATGTAATGTTTAAAAAAAAAACATTAAATATTTTAAGTGAAAAGACACACCCTTATATCCACAAAATTGCTAACAGTTCCAAGAGTGCCCCCGAAGTTCTTTGGATTTGTTCACTATTATTTGTCTAACATAATGAAGAGCAGTGTTTTTCCACTATCACATGTTCCACAGAGTAGATACATTTATTCCCACTTTCTGTATAAAATCAAGTAAATGAGTAGACTGCTAGCCCCTAAGTGAAAATGCCTCTCTAGCACCCTTATGTGCTGTAATGTAGTACAGATGCTGATCTGTTTCTAATGTCAGTGCCAATGTACACTGATAAAATGGTACAGCATACTACATGCCAAACACATTCAAACATATGTGTGTTTCATACTGGCGTGTCAAAAGATCCATCAACAATTTAGTTGTAGTACTTTATAGCTAGTAAATATTTAGATAAAACAAATATTCTTCTTTATACCAGCTGATGTAAAGTGAAAGTTTATATGTTTTGCCTCTGCTTACCTGAATATATTATTTTTCCAGGTTTTTTTTTAGTCAGAACAGAGAGAATATTAATAAGTGGACATTTAAATATTTTTCCTGTGTGTTTATTCTCAGATATTTTAGCACAAATGTATACTAAGTAGGGCCAGGGATTTAACTCAGTGGTTCTACCAGCTGCCTCACAAGCACAAGGACCTGAGTTCAATCCCTGGTACCCCCCCAAAATGTATATTGTTTTAATATGTTTGTAGGGTAAAGTTGATGTATGCTCTGTTTATTATAGTGGAAAATGAGAAGTGGTATATCAATTAACTTTTGATTAGAAACTCTTTATATGATTATTCCCTTGGAATTCTATTAATTTAATTTTTCACTTGCAGAGTCCATTTCATATGGCAAGTAATTTTTTAATTATACTGATGGCTAAGTAAGAAATATGTTATTTTGGATTCTAAAATTACAATACTAATTTCTCAAACATTTGAACTTGGGTCTTACGTAGTTTTCAATTCTCTGCTCTAGTGTTTTGTGTTTTGTAAGAGATGTTGATTTGCTTTAGATGCAAGCCTGTTGTAGGATTGTAGAATTATTCTCTACAGGTTTGGTTTTTGCCTCTTCACCCTCTGAGATGAAGATTTTGGACCCAAGATTTAGGGGAGTATGGTGACATCAAGTGGTGGAAGGAGAGGAGGCTAATATTTCTTTTCATGGTACCTCTGTATACTTGCCTTTAAGTACAGAGATGGGGCTAGATCTCTGAATCTCTTCTAGTGTCTAAGTATGAAGCAATACATCAAATCTAACAAAGGAAAGGAGAGAGTAAGATAACCTTTCTTAAACTGCCCATGTGAAACTTTTAGGTCATATACCACATCTTTCTCTGGTTATTTGGTGGAATTAATCACATTTATCACCATAAATTTGCAACTCAAGGAGCTGAAGCTCGTGTGTGTGTGTGTGTGTGTGTGTGTGTGTGTGTGTGTCTGTCTGTCTGTCTGTCTGTCTGTCTTTGGAATATGTGCTAGAAGTTATATATTTGCTATATCAAATAAATGTAAAAAGAAGATTTTTACCCCACATTTATACTTAAAAACATACCATATACCAGTTGGAAGATTGCTAATGAGTTTGTTTGCCTATTTTTACATAGGAAGTGTTAATGGTCACCTGAGTAGCTATTTTTATCGGTAGGGGTACAAGTAAATCGTGCCAGACACTGTGAGAGATGACACTCTACCTTCATGGTCTCATTTAATCCTTGCAGCAATAAAAAGATTATATTTTTTTCTAGCAGTATAGCAGCTGCAACTGAGGTCTTTCTTCTATTTGAAGAGCCAGTCATTGGCAGTGTTAGATGTAGAATAGAATCTTCCTGGCTCCAAACCTGGTCTCTGCCTTGTGTTTTTTTGTTTTTTTTTTTTGTTTTCTTTTTTTCCTGCCTTGCTTTTAATAGAATGTAACAGAACACTCTTAATGGATCTGCCAGTGGTCAGGCACACACAGAATCACTGAGCAACAAAAGATGTTAAGAGGATTCCTGTTTTGAAGGATGGAGCTTCTTTTGATACTTAGGTTCTGTGGTTCTTTGTTCAGTAGTTTTAGTAATAAGAAAAGTGAACATATGGAAATTACTTTATTCTAGGCTGCACTCATAAGCATCATCTTTATGGAGCTTAGAAAGAAGAATAATTGAGTATAAAAATGTTTAAAAACTTACAGTTTACCTCTCTGATAAACATTCTCTTTTTTTCTAGAGGTTAAAGAAATCAGATACTGGCTACTATTATTTCAAATAATTCTTACTTTACTGAGAATGCTAGTCTTTTTCTTTGTATTTCTCTGTCATCCTCTCTTTTTTTTACCCTTTTCTATACTATGCCTTACTTAAATATGCCCAAGTAAAACTAGCTCTGTCCATAGGATATGAAAGCTATATATATAGTGAAAATTCACTCTGACATTCAAACTTTCATTGTTACTACTTAACTCAATTTTTTATTAGTGTTACCAGATATTAAACTCATTGGTTTTAAGTGTTACATCTCTACTTTCTTTCACTCTTACTGAAAAATAAAACATCCAAGGGTGAAAGAACCAAGGAAAACCAATATTGGATAGTCAGCAGATTAATTGTCGTTAAATAATTGATGTGATTTCATGTAATTGACCAGTTTAATGATATATTTTGTTAACACGGGCCCTGAATGTGTACAGTCGCTTGGCTTTTTGCTTATCTCATTTTATAGAACCTTGTGATTCCAGTGTTAGAATTGCTTTTATTTGATAATATACCCTGTAAAATTCCCTGCTTTAAACCACGAAAACCTCTGCTTAGATTCAGACCTACCAAGTTCATCTAGCTAATTTCCAGAGCCAGCTCTTAGATTCGTATTATTTGCTGAAGGTCACAGAGCTTCTGTTGTTGATCAAACAATCCAAGGTTGATTCCAATTTGAAACTTGTCACATTGACAAAAAGGAGTTGCTTGCTTGAATTGGCTACATGGAAAACATCACAGTGTAAGGATTATATTCTGAAATTTTAAGGTATATTGGTTCTGTACAACAAAGCACAGATAGAGAGAAATAGTTTAGGAATAACATTGTAGTTTGTATTTTTCTTACTGGTGTATTATTTATGCTTACTTATATCTTTTTTACTTGCTTTAGAGAGTTACAAGTAATACTTTGATAGCATTTGAAATGTATAGGTAATCCTCAAACCATTTAAGGTTCTATTGTTTACTCCAAATATTTAAAATAGAAGAGTTTAAAATAAGCAAAGAATATGAATTTAATTTTCCACTTTAATATGAATTCCTATTCGTTGTTAAACATTCAGATTTTAAAAATAATGAATAAATGGCTCTGACCTGAAGGCTAAAGAGGAAAAAGGAGTGAGTATTCTATGAAGAAGAGGGAGATGAAAATGAACCATGAAAAGCTGTAAATATATATCAGAGTGTATCTGTGATTCCATTTCTGGATTTAATATAATTACTATTTATTTGGTTTTATCTTTTTCTTTTTAAAAATTTGAAAGGTAACCACGGAGGATTTCAATAAACCACTCAGTCGGCACTGTGCCATGAAATTATGGGAGAATGGTAAAATTTTCAACTAGAATTTAATTTTTAATAACATCTAATCTCTGGCCATAACTCACAACTATCGACATTTCATAGCTTTTTAGTAGCAAGATTATGTAACACTGGTATATATTGTGTAGTTTTTTTTGTATTTTATGGGTATCTTTCTATCAAAGAATCAGTTTAACCTGCTGTGGCTTCACCTTGGAAATACAATCTGAACAGGTGGGTACTGTATGCTTCTTATGAATTAGGAAATAGATATGGTCATTAAAATGAAAAGAAGTAATACTATTTTGGCTTCTTCAAATTTTTAAAACTAAGATATTTATTGTAAAGTCTGTTCTAGCTGGCATTTCAAAGTTTATGCAGGCAGTAGTTCAAAATAAGGTTAAATATCACTTCAGAAACTAAAGCCCCTTTTGTTCTCTATGTCATTCTTTTATAAATTGTAGTCATTACTTAGAATTACATTGTAATGATATCATAACAGTATTGTTGCTGTGGAATCTTAAAAAATATTAGGCAAAATTGAAGGCAGGTTCTTACCTAAATATGCGTCTTTTTATTGCTTGGGTAGAGGCAGAAATATTAATGGGAGCTATGGTTTATGTAAGAATGTAATTTTTATGTGAAAGGTGTTAAAAGAATGACATTAAATTTGATTCATACTATTTGCTACTCCTAGTAGATAATAGATTTTGTCAGGAAGGGGTTACAGTTGTTATGGATGGTATTTTAATGCTGTGGATTTAATAACGGTATATTTTATATTGTGTGTATAATATGGAGAATCTGAAAGTGGGATATTTTCTAGCCAAGGTACAGATGGTGTGTATTATAGCAAGCACCAAAACTTCAGTGTCTTTTTGTCATTTACCTGGATACTGTTCTCTCGGTTGGGCCAGGAGTGGGACATCCTTTAACTGTTTCTGTCAACCATTTTAGAACACTGTGGCTGAACTGCAAGGAGTATGTGGCAACAGCAATAACAATAACAACAATTTCTTTAAGGTTTGGTGGTTTTTGTTTTTTGATAGAAAAGAATTCTTGTCTGTACCTTCCTGCTTCATGTTTGAAATTAAATATTCTGTATGTTTTATTAACTCTCTGACCTAAGCAGCTTCTCCAGAGCTGTGTGTTTTGTGTATGGAACAATAATTTTAAAATAATGATTTGAACAAAGGCTTAATTCTGAATAATGGCACATATTTTAGGTATAGATTCTGCAGTTTGGACTCACTTCCTAACAATTAACTGTGAATGTTTTTAACCCCTAACATTTAAAATCTTTTGTGATTCAAATTAGAGGGGAAACTGATATCCAACATTGGGGCTATTATGATGTTTTAATAATAAAGGGTACGTGGCAATTTATATTGTTTTGAAAAAGAATCTTCTAATAGAAAGTTCTTATTTTTTTCTAGACACTAAATGTATGTATCTTTAAATAGAACTATTTGTTTATTTGCATGATTTATAGACTTCCCAAAATGTATGAGGAAGTATTCTATTTTAAATGAATAATCTCATAGAGATAATGAGCTTAAATGGAGGGCCGATGTGTTTAAGAGGCCAACCAGCTAATGGTGATAAAAGGAGCTTGACGAATAAGAGAAAATGAAAATGATTTTAATATCTGTTCATACACTCAAATTTTATTGGCTATTTAAAATTATTAAATTGCAATTGTATCCTTTGGTTTGCATTCCTCAAATTTATAAAGATAATCATCATTGACACCTACAATCCCAAGGTTCTTAGAAAACATTCTGTTGCTTGATGTATCTATCCATGCTTGATCTGGCTTCAGCCACCTACACACACACTGCATGCTCATACACACGAGCACACACTGACCCTGAGGGTGGACAGGATCTACTTGAATGGCCCTCTCAAGGAATATTCTCTGAATATAGAAGTATTATTACCCTTTGTAACACTGAACATGGACAAAGAGATGATAAGGTCAAGGAAAATAGAATTAATAAAGGAATCTTCAACCCAAACAATGTCATTTTTTAGACATTTTCTTTGTATAATTTTTAAAAATTACGCAGCCACTTTTATTATGTTTTCTTGCTTTTTCTTTTCCAGTGGCCACGTGATAATATTTATTCATGGCTGCATAGAAAATGACAAAACTTTATCAACTTCTTTCAGGACATTAAGTGGCTTTGAAAGCAGAAAAGACTTTGTCATCCCTGGAAACCTTGCTATAATGATACTATATTATACTGTGAACTATGGAATTTATAGTAGTGTTAAACAGATAACGTAGAAATAACACAAATGGCAGTCTTTTTCCAACTTTAGACATTTTATTTTTTGAAAAATATGTTTGATATGATTCTTTACCAAAAATCTCTGTCACGCTAATAGTCACAGAAAGAGATGGCCGCACTTGTCTGGGGAGCCAACTTACCTTCCCACAGGCCATCAGGATCCCCTGCTTTACCCCAGCTTTGCTCTTCCTTTTTTCTCCAACTTGAATCATATATGATTTAATCATATTAGCTTTTCAGGATTCTGTTTAGGGTTCATCTGCACCAAGGCTTCTTGGGTTTTCTCAGTTGTGCTAGGGGCCTCCTTTTCTAAAGCATCAATAACAGTGTCTCTCTATCATTATTTATGCGGAAGTTTCCCCCATTCACCTATAATCTGTCCAGTGACAGGTGTTAAATGCTGGTTGATTTTTAATACACACAGTAATGAGCACAGCACTGGGAAAATTAGAGGAAGCAAAGAAACTGAAGCAAATTAAATTACACAAGGGAGATTCAATTAAAAATTGGAGAGCAGAGTCAAATGAGAATGAAGTTTACTCGAAAATACAATGACGAGGGAAGAATACAAGCGTAAAAGCAGTGTGAGACCTGATGAGACTAGAGATTGGAGGTAAGGAAAGGAATAATCTGTCTTTGCCCTTGGGTGCTTTACAATTGAGCACTTTCTATGAGCTTTTGATTGCTACTTCATTGCAGATATCTTGAGAGACCATGAACCTGGCAGAATAGCCTTTCTTTATCACACTGTCCTGAAATCCTCTGCACGTAAAACTAGAAAAAATGAATATGTGCATTCCATCCATTTGAAACCTTCAAAATGCCATCCTACTGACGCAGGTTGGCATCACTTCTCATCCTGAGTAAGTTTGTAATAGTAACAGGAGAGTCAAGACGGCCTAATTTCAAGATCAGTACTTCATAAATGACCCTTTTTTTTTTTTACAGTGATCTAATTTAAAAATAGCCTTCAATCAGAGAAATACATTTTCATGAGCATAAAGACTAATGGCAACCTGACCCAGGATTAATGTGTGGAAGCTGCCTTATCATGGGAATTTGTCAGTCTTGATAAAGGCTCCTTTCATTATATACTGATACTGATGCAAGTAGGGATGAAAAACTCATGATTGGGTTCCAAAGTTCTAGCTCTTAATTAATTTTTTAAAATATTAAGGTAAAATTGACCATGAAATGAATGAATATATCTTAAATGTGTTATTTGAAATATTTTATCGTTATGTATCTGCATTTTATTTTATTTTATTTATTTTATTTTTATTTTTTGGTACCGGGGATTGAACTCAGGTCCTTGCACTTGCAAGGCAGGCCACCGAACCACTGAGCTAAATCCCCAGCCCTTTATCTGCATTTTAAATCTAACTTTGAGAGACAATGTATATACAATGAAATGCACCAATTTTAAGTGTACTTAAGAGTTTGTCAGTAAGCATTGCCCCATTGAAGATACAGAAAGTTTTTGTTACACCAAATAGTTAGGTCAGGGAACTCGGCTGTCACTCTGTGTGGAGCAGCCATTCAGTCTGCTTTCGGACAGCATAGGTTAATTTTTCCATTCCAGACTGTGGATTGAATAAAATCATAACATACTTTTTAACACCATGCTCCTTTCACTCATCCTAATTTCTTTTTTTTGTCTTTAGCTGTCACTATATTCCAACTAGTATTGCTTCCAGTTATGGGAGACAAAACTCAAGTCACACCCAAAATGGGATGCCTAATTGGAGAACTTCATCATCACACTGCAACATCATGGGCTATAATTCTTTATAGATGAAAATAAATCTACCATCCAGGAACTACATGTAAAATTACCAGTGTGTGGGCTTAGTGTGAAGTGAAAGGAAGAGGAAATTTTCTCTAGGAAATGATGACCACAAGCAGTCCGAATGTTTACTGTATTTAGGGGTGAGGAGAGCTTATCAAGGGGGAGTTACCTTTAGTCAAAGCCTAAAAGTTTCAAGGCATATGAGTTTACAGTTTTAAAATACAAAGCTAAAAATAAAAAAAACGCCATGCTAGACAGCATAAAAAAATAAAAGAACAGGAGTAGGAAGGGGAAGAAAGTGAGAAAGAGAAAATAAAGAGAAAAAAATGAAAGAAAGATCGAAGTCACTTCATTATTAGTTATACTGAACTGGCATAAATATTTTCATTTGCATATAATTTCCTCAGAGGACATAAATGTAAAGAATAGTACCACTCTGATTCCAAAACTGTGGTAAAATCTTGAGGGTGTGAGAGGTATGATACAACTAGGTACTGTGTAATCCAAATAGTAAAACCTAGTAAAGATGTGAGAAAAACATGTCTATTTCATTAAGTAATACAAATGATCTTCAAATATTAACAAACTGTATTTAACACTATAGCCACTGTTTAGCCAGGAAAGCAAGTATTGTTTAGTGTTTGAAAAACAATCACATCTTGTATTTGACTTTGTAATGGAAAGCAAGAACAAGTGAGAGAAATAAATTAGAAAGGAAGACATAAAGCTATTATTCACAGGTGAAGAGAATGTGTATTTAGAACTCAAACTTACTTACAAATAAATTACTAGAAACAATACAAGATTTTAGCAAGTTTTCTAGGTTCGTAATTCATGTAAAATATAACTTCTATTTCATTGTGTCTATATGTGAGAAAAATATAACTTGAGGTATCAAGAAATAAAAGATAGGACCTTCATAGGGAAAATAAACTTATTGAAAAATATTAAAGCTTATGTAAAGGAACAGGGAGATCTTTTTCATAGATTGGATGACTCGGGAGCTTAGCCGAGTCAGTTTGCTCCAAGTTAATTTATGTAGTCAATAAAATTCTAGTAAAAATATTTCCAAAGGATTTTTAAATGGACTTTGATAAGCTGTTGCTAAAATGTACATGAAAGAACAGTGCACCAGAAATAGCTATGACATTTCACATGCCTAAAAAATAATTATTACTAAAATACAGTAATTTATACCATGGACCAAAAGAATAGACAAGTTAAGGAATCCTCAAACAGTCCCTTCCATGTATGAAAATTTGGTGACATAGATAACACTTGATATGAATTGAAAAATGTTAAACTCTTTAATAAATAAAAAATTATGAAATTGAACCTCCTTCTCATTCCATACCAAAATTCAATTCTATGTAGATTTTCTATTCATGTATACAACGCAAAACTATAAAATTCAGAAACAAGGTAAGATTACCAATTGCGACTTACATATAAGAAATAGTTCCTTAGATGAGACACTTAAGAAATTGTGGCTTGAGCAATCAGTACAAATGCAGTGATTTTTTTTTTTTAATTATAGACACATCTTTGCTTAGTGAAAGGCTCTGACCCTGGACAGTATTTACAAAGATATACACCTCACTGAGTTTGAAAGAAGGAATTGCAGTGAGCGTGGTCAGGAGCCTCTTGACTCCTTAGACCTCAGCTAGTTCCCTAGAGAACTGATAAAGAGAGCACAGTGCAGGTTAAGGAAGAGCAGCAGAATCTGTGCCTCTTACCTTTCCTGAAGGCTGCCATGGCTGTCAAGTCAACCAGATTTGACAGAGGAGACTTGGAATTCTTTGTGGTGAGTCAGGACTGGAATGTTAGCTCTGTTGGGGAGATTTCTCAGAGGAAGACAAACTCCTATGAAACCCTCCTTGAATATTTGAGCCCTCGTGCCTTCAATTATATTTATATTCCCAATGAAGAGAACCTGTTGG